TTTCAATGGTTTTTAGAAAAAATGGTTTGATGTTTGATTTTATGATTTAAGGTTTTAGGGTTTTAAGTTTTATGATTTATAGTTTTTGGATTAATCGGTTTTAAGATTTTGGATTTACGTTTAGGTTGTGATTCTTTTAAATTTTATTCACATACTATTAAATGAATATCAATATAAATTATTAAAATATAATGAAATCAATGTATATAATGATATGTTCAAAATGATAAAATATACCAACGTGGTTGGTCAATATGAGCATGTGAACATGTAGTTATGACATGGGGGCAAGATACTTGATTGCTTGAAAGAACTCATTATCGCACCACCAGTTATGCATATTTACTCAGTATAAGTATGCCATTGCACCTTTCAAAGATTGCATCGTCTTTTTAATGCAAAAGATATAATATCTTTACAAAAATTTTGAACCAATATCATTTTTGAAATCTTCGTAACTACACTAATGTGAGCATATGTATCGAAAATCTGCCGCAGGTTCATAACTACACCTACACCAATGCATGTATATATATATGTAAAATCTTTGAAGTATTCATAACTACACCGTTGTAAGTATGTGTAAATGAAATTTGTGAAATATTTATATCTACATTAGTGTGAGTGTGTATATGCAAAATTTGTCAGTGCAATTAAGATGGAATTGAGACTTATGATAAGCCCTTGTGTTTTATGTTCTATCCACGAGTCGAAGTATAATATCTCATGCATGCTCTTAGTTCGCTTGAACTTTATATTATATCAAGATTTTCATTTAATTGAGATGTTGCAAGAATCTTGTCATATTGTATAGCATTTTGGCGTGTTAAGAATTATAAAATTTTAGATGGTGTAAAATTAAATTATCAATAAAAAATATATAAATACTTAAATCATATGAGAATTTAAGTTTTTTAGGAATTGAATCGTATCTTATAACACCCTCGATATATCCCTAATTATAGACCAGTCTAATAGGGATCTCTATATAAATGATAAAAAAAATGTAATGCTTGACCATTGCCTTTTTTATTTATTTCATTTGTTGGCAATAAAAAAATTGCCAAATAGAAGAAATAATTATTAACTGAAGGCCAAAAGAAGAAAAGAAATAATAAATCCAACTGTCATATGATCAATGTAAATGAAAATCGATATGCAATCTAAAAGTATATATTATTGTTTGCTCCTCAACCTGCTTTTTCAGGCTCTTAAAGTTCTGCAAAAAGTTCCTACAGCAACCATTATTATCTGAGTTTCAGTTCCAAAATAAATAATTGATTTATTTATAATTTTTATTTTTATTTATATTTAATTCGCCTGATCTAGTAAATAATTATAAATTGAGGGGATTTTATTTTTCAATTGATAAGGCGAAGTAGGGTCAACATATATTTATTTAAATTAATTAGTTGTAAACAATGATACAACAAAAATGGGGGCTGCCCTTCTTAATTTAATTTCCATATCACTTCCAAATTTAATTGTGGAATGCCCATTCTACCAATAACTATAACTTCCATTAGAATATTCTAATCATTTGCACATGTTTTTCTTTCTTTTCCATTTTTTACTTTTGTAGTTTGTTTGAGATCTTCGATTAATCCGGGCCAATTAATTTTTATTAAGGCATAATGTAAAAAGTAGCCCTCTACGTTTATTAAAATAATCATTAGTTAATAAACGATTAATGTTCTAAAATATATACCTTTTTACCCTAAAATAAAATGTCAGGGGAAAAAATACTAAAAAAAAGAATAATGGTTAAATTGATTATTTAGTCAAATTTAAGAGCCTTTTTGCCATAAAATGAAATACCATGGGTCAAAATACTAAAAAAATAGTAATTATATTTTCATGTAATCTTATTAGCATATTCACGCACACCTTTAAAAATGATAAACTATGTAGGTAGCCCCTTGATTATATGATACTTTTTAACTAGATCACTAAAGTATAAAATATTACAAATTGATCACTCGAATTTGAAAATTATAAAATGATAATCCACCGTTAATTTTTAGATAGAAAACTAACATGAGATTTAGTCATTCACCTTTACACCTATTATAATTTTTCATTAATTTAAAATCTATCCCTTAGTAACTGTTATTATGCTAATATTATTAATTGTCAAGTCAACTTTCCGTCTAAAAATTAACTGTCAATAATGATTTTGTAACTTTTGATAACTCGAATGATCAATTTATAATATTTTATACTTGAGTGACCCAACTAAGAAGTAACCAGTAATCAAGGAATTAGATGCAGAGTTTAGCCTAAACAGATCATCTAAGTTTTAACTAATTTAATAAATTAATAATACAATGAAAATCATTCTGCAAATTGTTTAGTAAATTTCACCATTAGCTAGACCAGTTAATGGACTGGTTGCCTTATTCGATTTTTTATCTTTATTTTTAGTCTATGTGCAAATTCATCTCCATTTAATATTAGTTTTTTCTTAAAAAATTATTAATATTTTATAATAAAATTAAAAAAATATTTTTTTAAATGTACTCCCTTAAGACTTTGTTTGAATTAAATTGAATTCAAAAAAAATTAAAGAAAGTTTAATTTAAATTATTACTAAAAAATATATCTTTAAATTTAAAATTGGAACATTAAAGTATGATTCTCAACTTCCTTATATATTGATTAAAAGGGAATCTTTTTTTTAGTACTAAGAATTAAATTCTTCTTTAAGAAGATGAAGAATTATAAATATAATTATAATTTTTTTGTCATTCCAATTTTCATGGCTTTGTTCTGATTAATTCAGATCAATTCGTGTTGCATATATGATTTTTGTTAATAAGTCTCTTAACAAAATTTTTCTGTATACATAAGGTCTTGAACCCGAGACATACTTAAATAATACTAAGCTAATTTCCACTTAACTCGTTAATAATATTTTTTTTGAAAAAAAAAACGTCATTTATAATATTAGCCATGAATGACATCAGAAATGATCACTTCTGACATGCAAATTGAGAAATTACAGCCATAGAACATTGGCAAAGAAACATATAAAGCAAATTGAGCCAAATGGTGAACAGCATCGTTCGCGGATCGACGAATAATAACAACCCGAAAACCTGATCGATCCCGGAGAAATTGTCAAGCATGGGATATAAATAATTATTGGCGTGATGTGATGTGAGCATAGTCATCGCTAGTTGGGTTGTGAGACAGACCCCATGGCCCTTTCCAATTTGGTGACCTTTCCTGCTCCACGTATCCTGCGGTCATTAAAGCTTATAAATGGTAATCTACTGGTTCAGCTCAAGGCTCCCTTTGGGCTTCAAGGCCTAATCATTTAGCTTTAATGATAAAAATAAAACATAAACCATAGTTGAACTGGCAATTTCTACACATTTGATCCTTCTTTTTAATCTGTATTAGTCTCGAAGTTGGGTATTATTTTTCAACTTGATTCCTGAATTTGGATTTTTTTAATGATATAATATGATGAGATTTTGCCATATCAGTATTAAAAAAATCGTACATTTGATTATTTAGACGATGATGTTTTATATTTTCATAATGTTCTGTCATCCAATGTTTAGCGTACTTGTCAGATTGAGCATGTGATACTATATCCGATTCTGGCATTACATATTGTTATAACCCACCCCATGCTTCAGAGGAACTGTTCTAGAACGACGTGCCTCCTTTACCTTGAGCATGTGAGAAAGCAGCCATGGTGGCCGGAAGTAATGATCAATGATGAATGGAGATAAGAAGTAAAGAAAAGATCAAAGGGTGATGAACTACAGAAAAAAGTAGAAAAGAAATAAATAACTTTTAATAATCAATTGGTTAAATGGGCAATAAACCAATACATCATATTTATAGTCCAATATTATGCCTACCTAACTCATTAACAACAATTACGAACTAACAAGCCCAACAACTTTTAATAACAGAAATTCAACCTATCGTATTTGCTAACATTCACCTTACTTCTTCAACCTTTTCTTATTCATACTTGACCTTCTTTACTGAACTGACATTATAAGTTGATTGAATAAGTTGAAGCTTTAAGTTGCTGGTAACAAAAACGAGTTAGCTTTCTCCCGTTATTCATCTCATTGTAATTGATCATAAACAATAGTGGAGACAAATCAGAGATCAGATACATTCAAGAGTTTTGGATGCAACCGCGGATGATTAATAAACAATAGTGGAGACAACAACCTTAGGATCGTTAGAACCTCCAACGACAGCGAAGCAATCATTTCAGCGACAAAGATTTTTCTAAGATCTTGAGTCGGATAGATAACAACTCAATGAGACGATTGGAGCACAACTAAGGGGAAGAAAGATGGCCGCAGGGTCATCGACGAATGATACCATGTGAGAAAGCAGCCATACTGGCCCAAAGTGATGATGGACAGTGAATGGAGATGAGAAACAAAGAGATAATGACCAACGGAAGAAATAGAAAAGTATTAATATTTTATGTCGGAATATTATTAATTTACATGCTTTATGCAATAAGTTTTGAAACCCTATGAATGATTTTCGAAATCTCTCGAGTGGTTTCGAAATCGACTGAGAGGAATTTCGATACCTCTAACATAGAGGGCTATCATGTTTTTGAAACCCTTAGAAAATGTTTTAAAACCTAAATTTGAAGGGACTTGATTTAAATTCTTTAACGAGCTTGATTTCTTTATAAATTGATCATAAATCTAAAATTGAAATTAAATTATGATTTCAGCTTAGAATGACGTGAAGTTGAACGTATGACCTTAAACTATATTTAATTTCAATTGGGAACTATCGAATTTAAATTTTATACTATGTAAAAACTTATTTTATGATTTAGTAAAAAAATCAATATTTTTGCAATTATTGTTAACTAAGAACCCCGATTAAACTGAGTATATTTTAAATGTAATTAAAAAATATTAAATAAAAAACATAAAGTCTTCGATACTACTTTAACCTTCCCAAAAATAAGACTTGATGATGGAGCATCGAGAATCCCCAACTTATGAATAACTTAATAATATGATAAATGGTTACACATTAAACACTGCGTACAATTTGACACAATAACAAATTATAATCTCACACTAATTAAATAACACACCACAATCTCTTGTCCAAATATATAATAATGGAGTCGAATCTAAGTTCGAACCTCATCGTTTACTATCTCTTTGTTTTATTTCCGGCTCCCATCCCGTCCTTATGCCAAAAGAGAAATTCAGTAGAAAACTAGATCCCAGTTTAACTGAAGAGCAACTGCAAGATTTGCTAAACCCTAGCATCTAACTCCATGATGGTGCTAAGGTTCATTGGATTCATGTACTTGGTGGAACCAGTCACGATATTTTGTACAATCAGCCTGTTAGCCCTCTCGGAAGGATGGAATGGATCCCAAAACGCGTAAACGTCTCGGTTCGGGCATAGGTTCGACGCTACTGTACATAATCCGATTCCGTTGTAAGGTCCTTGTCCGCAGCAGGCTACCTTTGATGTAACAAAACCTTATCAAAACATATTATGCAGATGATTAGTATGCGTTAAGCCATTGCCAAAGCATAAGTTATTCGGATACAAGTGCGAGTATAACCATTTTCCATTTATAGCTTCAACAATATATTATAGGATAAACTATGTATTTAGTCACTCAACTATCACTTTGGTTCCGTTTTGGTCACCTAACTATTACTTATTTCAAATCTTACCTATAGTTACATTTTAATTTCATTTTGGTCACCTACCATTAAAAAATTAACGATGATGTTGATGTGTCACCATAAGGTATGTCATGTCATAATCGGAAAAAATAATAAAATATCTCGTTAGTGGTTTTATTTATTTTTTAACAACGGGTGATCAAAAAGTAACTTTATGTATGATTTTGAAAATAAATAATTGGGTAATAAAAATGGAACCAAAATGATAGCTGAGTAACTAAATACGTAGTTTTACTACGTAGATTTTAAGCCTTGGTACCAGTAGAAGCATTTAACTCTAAAAAAATGGCATTTAATTCAATATGGTCCCATTGGTTTTATCTGTCAATACCAGCTTATCTCCATTGTTTATCTTTACCCAACAAGCATTTATCCATCTTTTGTATCTACCAAATTTTGAATCAATGCTTTTGCATAACAAAAAAACAGTACGTCAAAACTTTTACAGTTTGGTGAAGTTATTACTGCAATATATCAGCGATAAATTCTATAATCTAAACTTTTAAATCTTTTTTTTATCATATCTGGGTATTTTAGGATGGGACATGATAGATTAAAAACGGGAAGAAACCGTACCGAATGCTTGAGGGTTACCGATCCAATCCATGTGCATGTCGTTTGCATTTACGGCAATGAAAACATCTGATCCAAGCTCACTGTTGAGTTGGAGGAGCATTTGAACAAGCTGTGGGTTGAACAAGCCTGCGGCTCGTTGCAGCTCAACCGCGCATTCACCGGCTCGGCTGTGTTGTGCCAGTTCTGCCGGGACGCACCCCAACGGTCCGGTCCCAGTCACCAAAACCCTCCTTGCCCCCATCTCATACAGGCTCTGCTAAGTAAAATACATTATGTTATGCAATTTTGTAACTGATATATGGATGTAGAGATATGATTGATTCATATAATCATAATTTTTTTGAATAGTTTAGTAAATTTCTTAACTTATTGGAAACGCATTGTATGTAGACGCAACTACTCAAACTTAGAATTTGAGTATAACCTCTCCTTTTATCATGAAGTCCCTCGATAGATTTTTTATTGATTCTTTATATAATATTTTTAAGAGATTTGAACTTTAAGATCTATAACCCTTTCTCATAACCTTATCGAAAAGGTACGTATTAGCTTTAAATGCAGCAACCGAAAAAGTATCAAAATGCATGTTGGCTTCACCAACCAAACCAAACTTGATAAATAATACTAGTAGTAATTCACCCAACACTCCATGAAAGTTGGAACAGGAAACTTGTCCCATTTATTATTTACAGATATTAAATATATATTATCTTGGTACTTTAATTGGTGATCACATTTTGGCATTTTATCAGATCATACCAATGTCAGTCAGAAATGGTAGTTGAGCACAATGAATTCTTGAATAAAGATGAAAGGAGAGCAAAATATGATCGAGTGATGGAAAGTTTACCATTAGAATTTTCCGGTACTCGGAAATTATATAGACGACGTAATCCGGTAGTGCGAATTGCCGTGATCGTGCGGAGAAGGGTACAAGGTAATAGTTGGTTACGAAGTCATTGCCACCAAGTGTCATTAGAACGAGTGCGTTATTCACTAGGCTTCGAGTTTGCTGAGGTCCAATTAGTGCACTCACTCGCTGCTGATATTGCATGAAGTACTGTAATTGCTGGCGGATTCTGATTATATTCACCTACAAATGTCGCACAATTTCAGGACATTCCAAAAATCAAATGAAATTTACAATAAAAATATTTAATACGGCTTTAGTCCGGTTGGTTCAGGTGGTCTGGTGTTCCAATACCGAGCACATCTGCAACTATATCAGACTTACAAATTGAACTCCGGTGTCGTTGAGAATTCCGATTCCGGCAGAAGCAAAGTTGGCACCAACAAGGAGCTTTTGTCCAGTGAGCTCCCGACTCAGATATGGCAATGTTGGTTCAGAGCCGATTTGCTCACCTGGAAAATAAAAACAGCAGATTGAACCATGCTTATGTTTTACTTGAGACGAAAAAAAAACCATGTACGAAAAGATTGAAAGAACATACTTATAAGATCTGGGATGTTAAGACCATTGGAGAAACGGCCGGTAGCTCTGTGAGTCGGATAGTCGATACCATAGGGATAAGCATCAGCTCGGGCGGTAGTAGCTAGATAGTTGTTGTTACCATTATCGACTAACGAATCTCCGAACACGAAAAAAGCCCTCGCAGCGTCTGCTGGAGGTCCTACATTTGCTAATGTGAATAGCAGACCAAAAATCATAACAGAGATGAATGAATTATCCATTGTAAGTGGCTCTAAGATACCTTTGAGTGTGAAGGGGAAGGTACCGCCGTTGCCTATATATAAGTTTTTTGCTTACATGTTGTTTCCATTAATGCATTTGGCTACCTCTACAGGAGTTAGCTAAGATAATTGCTGCCATATCAATAATACCAACGCCAGGTTAGACCGGTCCAGGGCTTATACTTTTTCTTTTCTTTTCTTTTTTCGGTCTTGGATCCATTTTTGGTTCTGTTCAACCTACTACTTCGAATTTATTTTTTGAACAGTCTAAAGTGATTATAAGGTATTATCCGTCCAAAATATTTCTTAATCATCGACAATACACACACCTACAAACATAACTACACAAACTCAATATATCTAGAGAGAACAACATTCCCTTTAACTACTAAGACCGTTTAATGATGAGTACATCACTTTAAATTTATTGATCATGTGTTATTATTATGTAATTATTAAGTAGTAATCTAAGTTGAATTTGATTTACCCAAATTAGTATAAAACATTATGATGAGCAGGGCTGTCCTAATAGGCCTACGAAACTTTCATGTATGCTCATGTGCTTGCATAGGTGACAAGGAATACACAGCTGTCATGCATTGAATAAAACCTGGGTAGTGGGTGTTACTGTCGGGCGATTTTTAATAGAAATCACGTTTAAATATATGAATTAATTAATTTTAAGAATGAGCATCAGTAATCGGCTTTTGGAAACAATTCACGACATATTTGGCTTCAATTTTCACTATGACGGTGGAAGGATTAAGTCTTAAACCTCGTAACACATTCCAGAGCCCTTTATATAGTTTATCCCTAGTACTCATATTTAACAAGAAATCTCAATCAATAATTTTTAGAGTAGCTTAGTTGATACTTCTCATTTTACTCAAGGCACTCCTTTTTCCTCCAATTAGATGTAGGGAGGGTTTTTATTAAGGCTTTGTATTATCGTTTATTTTGTATATTCGATCAATTTAATAACACGCAAAACACTCCTTTAAAAAAATCACGATATATTAGACATGATTTATGAATCACTTTCTCAATCGAGATATTCTCGAAGATTATCTTAATGATGGAAAGATAAATTTCTCAAATTAAAACGATATACAAACATCTCCGAAAGATCATATGTTTTTAATTATTAAAATTTTCATTTAAATAATCAAAAGATCTTTCTGAGTGAATGGGTTGAGGGGGAGGTTCCTAGTGATTAGGCCCCTCCTTTGGGCTGTCTAAATTCAGAGCCTAGCCCTAAGGTCTTTTGCACCCAGGGTGAAATGTCGAGGAGGAAGTCAGTTAAAAATAATAGGAGCGCGTAGAAAAACAAAGGTAAAAGGAAGCTTGTTGCGAACAGTGGGAAGCTGATCCAAAATCATAGAGAGATTGCAGAAGCTGATCCAAAATCATAGAGAGATTGCAGAAGCTGATGGACTGTATGACTCTTATCGAAGACCTGAACAGTCTGCTCAGTGTTCTTCGGTTCGGTTCATGAGCAGATCCAGAGATGGGGATCCCGGTTAATTTTGGAGGTGACTTCAACTCTGTAAGAGCAGAAAGTGAGAAACTGAGGGGTGCACCGGGTCCGTCGACGATGAGTACTTTCCATTATCCCCAAATTTTGCTTAAATTAGTAAAATCATTTACCTCAAAAGTAAAGGACAAAAAGGAAATTGTAATGCATGTGAAATATTTAATAAAGCCAGCTACTTTCTCAACAGAATTTTAGATAGCAAATTAATTCAACGACCCACCCAATGAACATTCATTTCAATCAGTCTTAAGTTATAAGAATTTAGGTGAAAGTATTCATGTATATATTTTTTTAAACTATATAAAATTTATATTTGAATATATATAGGATACATAAACTCCAGGAGAAAATATTATTATATATATAGTGACAAGACATGTTAAACTCATAAAAAACAATAAGTAAACTATAAGATTGGTAAATTATGTTTTAGTTATGTACAGTATTGATCATTGATTATAAAAAGTTATGCTTTAGTCACTTATGATTTGTTATATCTTGATCACTATTCACTAGCCTTTAACTTCCGTTATCTCATTATGTGTCACCATAAAAAATAATTAATTTTAATTTAATTGTTAAATTTAGATCTTAGATTTCAATCTAGGATATGGATAAGTGGATCTACGGTTTTTTCTACTAATTTATCTTCTTCCAACCTACCTTTTCTGTTTTTTTTTTTTTTGCTTCTTGTTCTAGATTCACTTTTGAATTAGCATAGGAGTTTCTCTGATTAGAAATTATCTTATATGATTGTTATTTATTGTATTTGGTAATGTTGACTATTAGATCAAGTTTCCAAGTACATTCCAACACTAAAATTCTTGATTCTAAAACTTTTTGGCTCTGAAATTGGTGAATCATACGTTATTATGATTTTTGAATACACTTGAATTTTATAATCCGATTTAACATTATTTTTTCAATTACAAACATAGATGGATGTAACATCTCAATACCGGGTTAGTGACCAAATTGAAATATTTCAGAATTTGTTGGTCAAAGTAAAATAGTTGAATAGTTCAATGATTTAATTGGGAATATTTCCAGAAAGTTGTTAGTAATTATTAAAGGAATTAAAGGGCAAAATGGTCATTTCTCATAAAAGATATTTTTTTCTCTTTAAGAAGAGATAAACACGTTGGGGGAGAAGAGTATCTGGAAAACTCTTCTTCTTCTTGCTTTCTTCTTCTCCAACGTGCTGAGCAAATGTGAGTTTCTATTTAGTAGATTATTTGTTGATTTTATGGTTGAGTTTTGATCATTAGGTGATAACTAAGCTTAAGGAAAGCTTAAGTTATCTTAAAAATCAAAAGATTAAGAAGTTACAAAAGATTAAAGAGAATGAGTTTTTGAATGAAATCTTGAAATAGAGTTGATAAGTTGAATTTGAAGATAAATTTGACTTGTAATCAATCTAATTAACATGTATGAAGTGTTAGAATTGGATTTGTAACATGTTAAAATTTGGGTGTAATTCTTGAATTACATATGGAGAATATGATTTTGATGTTAAAGAGGTGATTAATGAATAGACATGAGTTTGAATATGAGTATGTAAGTTAAGAATAAGAAAGGGGATGATATATGAAGTTATTAAGCCGAAAAGAGTGGATTTTCGGGCATAAAAATGAATTCTGGGCTATGTGCATCGATGCACATTCAATGTGTACCGATGCATCAAGGGTAAATTTCTAAAAATTGTTCAGTGTGTATCGACACAGGAAGTGCATCAATGCACCCCTTAAAATGGAAACATCGAATGCAATTGGTGCATCGATGCATAAGGAGTGCATCGATGCATCCCCTTAAAATGAAAACATCGAAGGTAATTTGTGTATCGATGCATGGGTAGTGCATCGATGCACATGTTAAAGAATGCATCGATGCACTGTAGAATGCATCGATGCACTTCAAGGGGAAATTGAAATAGACATTTCTTTTGGTCTAAGAAATAATAGATTAGAATATATCAATTGGATACTGATATGTGTCAATGTATGATTATATAGATATTGAGCACGAACAAGTTCCAGAACGATTATCAAGTCAAGATTCGATCGAAAGAAAGGAAATCATAAAAGTGGATTGGAACTTAGTTAGGCTCAGGTGAGTGCATATTAGATCGTATATGATATAAAATGGAAATAAGACTTACGACAAGTCTATTTCCTATAGTGTTCTGCATAAATTCATGAACATGAACATGTGTTTGTTATGAATTATATGTTGTTGTAGGTATGATATGACTTGTATGAATATATGCTTATATAATGAAAAAATGCATATATGATATATGAATATAGATTAAGTGAATGAACATAGATGATATGCATGATATAAGAATAAGATATGATATATATGTTATGAGAAACATGCAAGTGATATGAACTATGTGATATGAATATGAAATATGATACAAAGTGATGTGATATATGGTCACAAGAGATAAGAGACAGGTGAAAGTGAACTATGTGATTATATGAATATGTGACATGATATATTGTTAATGCCCATGTTATGTGTAAAGAGAGCTAGAGGTATAGTCGACATGCCAAGAGTTGAGGGTCTACGTGGTCCTTCGGGACATATATGTATCCTTTGGAAACATTTACAGGGTCTTTTGAGACAGATTTGATCCACTGGAATATGTATATGGTTCTTAAGGAGTGATCCTTCGGGACAAATATAGTACATAGGTCCTTCGGGACAAATCTCATAGCCTCTGGTGGGACCCCATACGAGATGTGGTGACAGCATAGTGCACAACCTCCATAGACTCACATATCTACAGTTCTCAGAAATGTACATGGGCTAGACAAAGATATAACAATAAATATATTACATGTGAAGAATATGCTTTTGTGATATATGTTGATATGTGTATTGCACGAGTCATATGATGATATGTGTATTGTTTGGTTACACGAAGCATATATTGGTTAAAAAGGTTAGGTTCAAGAGGATATGATCAACACATATAAATTATAATAATATGGATAGTGAAATAAGATTAATGAAGTAAATGATGAGTGTATGTTTCTGTGTATATTTGATTATACGTAATGTTATATTGTTTTGGGTGATAGCTTAGTATGATATGTTCAAGCATGGTTAAGAAGTTAGAGTTTCTCTTATAAGTTTAATGCCTCACTAAGTCATAGACTTAGCGTGTGAGTGTTTCACACGTAGGTTCTGGAAAGCAAAGTGAGAAGCTAAGAGGAGCAAGACAGGTCACATTTTCCTTACAAAGTTTCAGATCAGAAAATAGATGATTTAAATGTGTTTGGTTAATCTGAATATAGTTGGCATGTACTAATTGATTGAGTTGAATATGCTCTGATCGATTTTGGTTATTTTGGTCAATTTATGTAAATAGACAGTTTTTATTTTAATGAAAGTTTTAAATTTTCTTTGAATTTTGTCAAGAGTCAAAGTTTGAAAAGTCAAAGTTTGAAAAGTCAATGTGACACCTCAGACTCGTATTCGGGTCGGATACGGGTTGAGGGTGTTACAATGGATGTATATCTTAATACTCCCTGTACTGAAAAATTCACAGAAAATGGTGAGATGATGAGGTTTGGTCTAGAATCCATGGAAGGATGGCGTGTAACTATAGAAGATGTTGTTAGTAACGAATGAAACCTTCAATTTTCAAATGTCTCAAGCATTAGGACCCTATTTATTCTATTAGATTGGGGGAGATGCTAAGATCAGGGATGGTCGGGCGTCGACCGGGGGCAATCGTCCTCCTAAAAATTTTAAATTATTATATATTTTAGATATTTTTTGTATTTTATAATGATAATTTGTTTCGTACTTCTATTTTTTTATAAATTCGTAATCACCTAAATTTTTTGAAGTTCGACCTTAATATAAATCTTACGTCTGTCTCCGCTGAGGTGATATTTTAAAGTTTACGCCACTGATTACTTAAGAGAGAGTTTTATAATCCGAGTTAACATAGTTTATTCAATTGCAAATATACATGGGTGTATATCTTAATACTCCCAATACTGAAAAATTCAAAAAAGATAGTGAGAATGATAGGGTATGGTCTAGCATCCATGGAAGGATGGCGTGCAACTACATAAGATGTTGTGAGTTACAAATGACACCTTCAATTTTCAAATGTCTCAAGCATTATGACCCTATTTATTCTATTGATTGGAGGAGATGCTAGGATCGGGGATGGATCGGGAGTCGACTGGGCGTAGTCACTCCTCTGAAAATTTTAAATTATCATATATTTTAGATATTTTTATATTTTCTAATGATAATTTGTTTTTGCCAGTCTAAAATTTTATAATTAAGTTCGTCATTACCTAAAAAAAATTAAGTTCGCTCCTAACATAAAATCATACGTCTATCTTTGCTGAGGTGTCATTTTAGAGTTTACATCACCAAGTTCTTAAGAAAGAGTTTTATAATCCAAATTAACATGATTTATTCAATTTGGACATAGATGGGTGTATATCTTGATACTCCCAATACTGAAAAATTAACTGAAGATGGTAAGAAAGATAGGTATGGTCTAGACTCTAGCGTCCATGGAAGGATGGCATGCAACTATAGAAGATGTTGTGAGTAACAAATGACACCTTCAATTTTCAAATGTCTCAAGCATTGTGACCAAATTTATTCTATTAGAATGGGGGAGATGTTAGGATCAGAGATGGATTGGGGTTGATTAGGGATATAAGCCTCTTGAAAAATTTAAATTATCATATATTTTAGATATTTTTTATATTTTCTAATGATAATTTATTCTTGTCCTAAAATTTTAAAAGTTTGTCCTCACCTAAAAATTTTAAAATTCACTCCTAACGTAAAATCCTATGTCTGTCTCTACTTGATGATATTTTAAAGTTTAGATTAATATAAAATCCTACGTCTATCTATGCTGGATAATATTTTAAAGTTTAGATCACTTAATTCTTAAGAGAGAGTTTTAAAATTTATTTTCTTGTCGATATGTAATATGGTTGATATTATTGCTCGTCTCTTCCTTATATTATACTTATATCCTTATACATATTAGATTATATCATATGCTATTTCTTGCAAATTTTATATATAGTGAAATTGAGACTTAATAAAGTGTATAGGTAATTTTGTGAATTTATAAAATATTTGGAAGGTTGAATTTTAAAGGAAGTTTGATGAAACTATTTAACTTTGAATTTTAAAGCTAGAAAAGATTAAATTGTAGGAGGAACAGAGCTTGTTAGCTTCCCAAGACCATTTTACCATTATTTGAAAGTTAGTTAATTTATTTTTTATTTCACCTTTTATTTTCTAAACTAATTTATAATTCTTAAATGAGATAGGATTCAATTACACAATTTAAAATTAAATTTTTTACATCGATTTAGGATTATTGAATAAGTAAAAGTAGACGACTGAGATTAACAGTAGAAAATAAGAAGATAATCATTAGAAAACAAAACAAGGACATAAACTCATTCATATATTTCCACTAACATAACAATCAAAATCAATATAAAATAAAAAATTTTTTACAGGGTGAATGAAGATAAATTAGAATAATGAATAAAATTAAATAACATGGAAAACGCATTCCAAAATGCAAATATTATAAAAATAAGGAAACATAATTATGGAGTGAAATGAAATAATACGAAAATTTAAATATTGGAATTTAAAGTATGAAACTAAGAGGGGGATTGAATTGTAATAATGGACAAAGAAGTTAAATTTCCTCTTAGTTACACCATTCCTTAATCATACTTAATTGATTTATCGTTAATTAACTATTTTTTGAAGAAGAAAAAAGGTAATGGTCTAAAAATCATGCCAAATTAACGAACTCTCCCCTTCCATTAATTTCGCCCCAAAAACTCTTAAACCGTAATTTATTCCCCATGTTCTTAGCTTTACATGCATTTGTCTTTCATGCATTCGTAGATTGTTGTCGGTGACACAGGCCGTCTTTGAGTTGGCGATCCGCCGAGTCTCAACCAACATCCACCATGGCTCCTCCTCCAAATCATTCCCGTTTCCTAGAGATTAACCTCGTTTCCGCTGAAGACCTCGCTCCGGTCTCCAAAAACATGAAGACCTACGCGGTGGTTTGGGTCAAACCGGACGAGAAGCTCGCCACCGGAGTCGACCAGAAAGGCGGAACCGACCCGACATGGAATGACCGGTTTACGTTCAAAGTCGATGACAAGTTCTTGAACTCGGAGGATGCAACCATCGTTGTTGAGATTTACGCGGCGGCGTGGGTTAAAGATGCTTTGGTAGGATCGGTTAATGTTTTGTTTAACGATATTTTCCATCTGCGATCTGTTACCGACGCCAAAGTCAATAACTCCGCCAAGAGGACCGTCACGCTTCAAATTCGCCGACCTTCCGGCCGCCCTCAAGGGATTCTTATGATGGAGGTTGCCCTCGTTGACAGTGCAATGCGAAGCATGCCTCAGGAAACGACAAACGAAGGAGGCGGCGACGGCCATGAGAATCATGAGACAAATGCGAACGCCAAGATAAGCCGTTCACAAAGCGACCGAACGGAGTTAACAATGGAAGAAAACTCGGATAGAAGGAGTGAGAAATTATCGATTGTTAATTGTGGGTCAGCTTCCAGTTGCTCCGGGTTTAAATTCAACGGCGGAAGCATGGTGAACGGCGAATCACTTTGTAACTCGGACGTGGGGCCATCGGCTTCCATTGTGGCGGCGGCCATTGCAAAAGGGTTGTATCATCCGCCGGTTAACAATCAACCTCAGACGAACGAAACGAGTAAGATATCAGAATGGACAAAGAAAGAGAGGGAAGAGGAGCTGTCGATGCGGTTAGAGAGGTGGCGGTCGGAAATTCCGTATCATGGCGCCGGGATCGGGGAAGCGAAAAGATCGAGGAAAGGGAGGAGGTCGAGGTACAAAAGAAGCGGGTTCAGGTTGTTTTCTTGCTTCGGCGATGCTTTCCGATTTGAAATTTCGATTGGAAGTAAGAAGAAACATAGTAATGGAAATAAAGGCAACCGCAACGGCAATGGCAACAATAAAATCTGCCATTTGGGCTCTGTAAACGAAAATAATAGCAAATCTGTTGCTTGAAATCCTTTTTCAAATATTACAACTTTTTATTTATTTATTTCAAACCTACATTCATTAATGTTTCATGCATCTTTAACCCACTTTTTTTATCATTCTTCTTTAATTTAATAATAATATATATATGTTGATATAAATATTTGTTTATTTATTTACATAATTAGACAATATAAAGTAAAAGAAGAAGAGAATAAATAAAATTTGAGCAAATTTACTACTTTTATTTCAACCGATGGTAATTACAGAAAAATATTTGTCAAAATTTTCAGGGTTTACCGCCCAACTGTAAATCTCTCTGTGTGACTGTAAATCTAATTTCCCAGAACCAAGGCATGAATTTCTTCCCAAGTGGAGACAGTGTAAAGAATGCCTGATTCGCGCTTCCAAAGGCAATGGCTTCCTTCAGCACCCAATTCCTTCTGTTTCTTAACCAAAGAAGGGAAAAATGGCAGAAATGAAACTCCATAATAAGTCCCCACTATTCTTAGGCTTATACTCGTTCCAATCACAATGCCTATATCCGCTTTCAGCAAACATAGCAAATCTCCAACCGAGTCTCCAATGAAAACCGTCAACTTCCTTTTGTCATCACTGCAGCCTTGTAGGATCTCACAGAAAGCTTCAACCTTGTCGATCGGAGTCTCTATTTTCCCAATGATTTCACCGGTGGATCCCGATTCGTCAAAGCTGAATTCGTTTGCAAGTATGTTCACAACATCTAAACCCCCTGTTTAAGCAACACATTCAGTCTCTCAAGAGACATGAAATCACAGAATTATAATGTAGCCTACTGGAGAAGGGGTTATACCTGAAGAAAACGCGGCTCGGACGAGATCACTACACCAGCAATAAGAAAGAACATGGATATCGGTATTTTCATTCTTTGTGATTTTCTGAAAGAAACTAATGCAACCATCTTGAAACATCATTCGTTCACCGGCTCGTTTAATGTCTTCCAATTTTAGACCCTTGAGTAGCCCTGCCTCGACCACCTTATGATTTTCCCTTTGCTCAAAATCTGAGACTTTCTCAAGTGCTGCGTGCAGAGTTTCATAGTTGAACTCCACTGTAGAACCACATGAAGTAAATGAATCAACATCAAATGAACTAACTGAAATGGCAAAATTTTTAAGGTTGCATTGCAGTATGTTGTACCTTTCTGAGGTGGCAAAATGCTTTCTATGCATCGTTCATACTCTTCTGAGTATTCTCTGGAAATTGCACGCCATGTTTTCCTCATCTCAGCTTCTAACATTCCAGTAATTTGACCTTCAGGTTGGTTCTCATCCGATTTAGGGGCTCTCACTATTGCAATCTCGGCCAAAATGGAAGATGAATCATGAACTGAGCAAGTAAGATCAAAATCGGAAAATAACACAAGACGGTCTCTTGCAGGGTCAAGCGCCTTCGTCAGAGGAACAACAGTGGGCTGAGTAAGCTCTTGAGCATGGAAGAATACGATTACGAGTTTCAGGCCTTGTTGATAAAGCTTCTCATTGATGTTTAGTTCCTCCCCTATGAAAGCGACACTAAGTTTATCCATCAAGTCTTCGGTTTGTTGAACAAATTTCTACATTCAAAGAATCAAAAGGCCATTTACTCAATGAAAAATTCCTCTGAGATACAAGAAACAATGAATCCAATCAATGTCATACCTGAAAGTCCTCACAAGAGTAATTGTAAATCCACTTTTCGTACGGGTGGTTGTTCTCCTTAGAATCTTGAAGTTCTTTTATCTCCTTAGCCAGAAAGGCATGCAGCCTAATGCAAGGTGCGATTGTTCCTAGAATGTATGCTGCAAGTTTTGTTTTCTCAAATTTAGTGGCAAATGTTGCGAATGGTTTCAATTGTCCAACCTTCCCGGAAGCTGTTTCCAGTACAAATTCTGTGTACTTCAAAGTTGCAGGATGGACAGGGCAATCTTTAGTGGAGTCCAAACCCCAGTCCTGCAGAACTCCAACTTTCAGACAAGGAGCATACAGACAAGAACATAGGAGATGCTGATTTACAATATGGCAAGAGAACGAAGAATCCTTTTATCATACCTCTACAATAGTATCATGCATTTCTAGCGCATCTAAAATTTTCTTCCTCAACTTCGAGATGTCTAACTTTTCATCGTCATCATCTGCACAATCTTCCGCCAATTCATATCTAAAATCCAGATTGAAGGAAACAAGAAATCAATTCATTTTCTGTTTCTTCTAACCAATCTGTATCAGTCTCCATAGGCAAAATCCAAGGTTGAGCTTACCTTTTCTCAGACCCTCGAAGCAACCATCCAATAATAGCATATAGAAAATAAATCATACAATGAAGTACAGTTTATATTTAAAAGAATCCTTGCATTCACAGAACCAATATTAAACTATCCAAGAGGATAGAATTTCATATATAAGTTAATAAATGATCACAAAACAAAAGAACCAAGAAGGAAAAAGAAACAAAGAAATCAAGCTTGTGATTACATTTCTTTAACAAAAAAGAAGATTACAGGAGGACCAGGAAAACATTAAGAGGGGCAAATGACTCACGCTCGAGCAAAAGCATTGAGAAAAGCAACGTCCTGGGAAATGCTATGGCGGAAGGCGTCGATATTGAGAGTCCCAGAAGCCAAACAAATAACATAAGGTGAGTAAAGCAAGAGGACAACGTCGCTACGAAACTTTTTGAAGCACCTGAACGCTGGACCGTCCTCGTTGGGTATAATGGGGCCAGTGCACTTAGAAGAGCTCGCCATTCGAAGAGGGTTTTTGATTGGGCAGCGAGTTGAAGAAAAGAGTGACGGGATTACGGTATTTGTAGTGGAATTAAACACGTATCTATTCAGTTAGTTTTCTAGCGGTTAGTTAAAAAAGTATTGATTAATATAAAAATAATATTTAGGTGTCTAATTTTTTGTGTGCTTAATTTAGGTGCTTAACATTTTTATATATTATTTAACTACTTACAACGTAACGACCGTTAAAAAACTGTTAAAATAAGTTAATCAATTAGTATTTGACATGTGATTTAATATTTTATTTTCTTAAATTTAAAAAAAAATCATAATTTTTTTTATTTTTTATAAAATACCCAAAACCTTCATAAAAATATTAACTTTTTTCTAGAAGACGAGCGGAATTATCTTGAATATTTAATTAAAATTTACATGGCATAAGATTATCCGATAAAGCATAATTCAACCAAAACTACAATAATTAAATATTTATTTTTATCCTTTGTGATAAACCTTTTAGATTTAGTATTTTTAATTTGATTGTTTTAATTATTATTTTTTTCATTTATGATTTTTAGTTTGATTATTTTATTATTATTATTTATTTAGGAATTAGTTATTTTACTAGAATTCTAGGTAAGATTTTGAGTTTGATTATATCATTTTCTTCTATTTAGGAATTAATTATTTTAATTACTTAAACTCTCGGGTTATAAATACCCCTAGATTCACTGGTACCTTATCTATTTATCAACTAATTCAGATATAATTTTATAAAGATTCATTATGGGGAGCGATCCTCGCAACCTAATTTGTTCCGTTCATATACGTCAAAATTCGAACTCCTTACATTACTTAAGGAATCTAGTATCTTATCAATCTAGACTAACTGATTGTTGGTTAAAATTTATATTTAGATGTATAAAATTTTCAGACTTTTTAATAATAAATATATTATGCTAGTAATTATTTTAATCAAGTTAATATCTAAATTTAAATATTTTTTATTTAAATAATATTAACTTATTTGATATCAATATTATGGTCGATTTTTAGAGATGGTATATTTGGGTGAATTTAGGTTAGCAATAATCTGGTGAGATAAATATTAATTAATTAGAGATTTGGATATGAAAATAGGAATATTTAATTTGTTTTTTAGAAAGGTAAATAATATGCATATAAAATGACGTGGGCAAAAGTGAGGTGTCAGCAGCAACTGTGTTTAGTTAGGCTGTTAAGAGGAAACAGTTATTTTGGTTAACGACAACAGTTAGAGAAGAGCGAAGATGACTGTTGATTTGCGAGGGAAATTCCCAAAATAAGACTAAGGTAATGATATTTCTTAGTCGTATTCTTTTTGAGGGACTAATATTGAAATTTTCAAGTGTTAAAGTTCCCCTTAAAATGCATGATCATAAGAAAATCGTTATGCGTCCTGAAGTTCAATATAATTAGTTATATTTGAGATTATAAGATTTTAAATCAATTGGCGAATATAATTTGGTTATATTTTAGATTATTTTACAATTAAAATTATATAGTTAAAGTATCAGCGACGAGAATATATTAAAAAAATATTTATTTATGGTAGCGGGGGACAATTGAATTTCAAAGTTCAACAGTGCTGAGTTATTATAATTGTTACTTCTTCTCGATCGCATGAATGATTTATAATAGTATGATTATTAATGCCTTTTGAATAAATTGCATATTGATTTGTAGATGTATATTTGGTTATCTAATATTTAATACACTACATGGTTTGATATTCCCAATTGTAGTTATGAGATTTTAAAAATTTTATCTTAACTTTTTTATTATGAAAATTTAATTTTGTCATGACATATATCATGTCTCAGTTCAATGAATTGTATATATATATTTTTAATTTTAATTTGGTGAATTCATGACTAAGAAATTTTTGAATCAAATATTAAAGTTTTCAGTTTCTAATGGTGTCATTTAGATATTATTATTTCGGATGATTTTAGAAATAATGATGTGATCTAAAAGTTTTCGTTTAATCTTTGACTGTATAGAATTTCTTTTCTTTTTTTGAAAAGAAAAATGATGATGTATTGAATAAATTGAAACATTCAAGTTAACAAAAATGACCTTATTAAAAAATTTCTTTAATCTTAAATGGAGGAAAAAGAACTCAATGTCTATATAATAACCTCACAAATCACCTCGACACTAAGCTTATCATCCGAGGCATACCGCACGATTGGCTTCGATATTGGACAAACAATAACACAAGCCAGTTTAAAGCAGCTCTGACACAATCAAGCTGAAGATTGATCAGCTATGGACCATTTGTTGAATAAAAAAAGAGTAAAAACTCTAATTGATCGAGAAGAAGACAAACTCTCTTTAGAATAATCTCACAAAATTGCAAAAGAGAATAACTTTAAGAAAGCTTTCAAATGCTTATAATTAAGCTTTGATTGTTGGATGATAAAACTCAAATACAAGTAGGGTATTTATAGGTTACAAGAAACAATCTAAACCACTCATTAAAAACCACTCATTAAAAAAGTATTAAATATCTAAACCACTGAAATTAAAACATGAGAAAAATACTTAATTTTCCCTAAATAAATTGATGTAAGCAATGACAATCAAAACTAAATGATGTAAGCAATGACATCAAATTAATTTGTTGTGAACTTATTAGGCTAATATTGAATTTTCAACACTCCCCTCAATGTTAGCCTTCATTATTTGAATCACGCCATGCTGACGACGGAAATGTTCAAACTTTCCAATACTAAAGCTTTTTGTAAACAAGTCAGCAATTTGCTCATCTGTCTTGATTTGCCTCATCTCAATCTTTCTTGTAAAACTTTTTCCCTAACAAAGTGGTAATGTACTTCTACATGTTAGTTCTTGCATGAAAAACAGGATTCCGCCAGCCGAATTGCGATTGGTTGTCACAGTACAAAGGAATTGCATAATCTACTGGTTGATGTAGATTATTCATCAACTGTACCAACCATGTACTCTCTTGAGCTGCCATTGCTGTTGCTCGATACTCAGCTTCAGTGGTTGACAATGATACCGTTGGTTGTCTCTTGCTACACCAAGAAATTGTTCCGGAGCCAAGCTTAAACACATACCCAGTTGTTGATCTCTTAGTGTCATGATCTCCTGCATAATCAGTATCACAATAACCAACTAACT